TTGGGATTTGAAAACGCCACCTTTTTAATCACAATTTCGCTTTAAGAATGATTCATTGTGCCGGCCCATAAACTAGCTTTTTTCATTTTCAAGAAATATAGTTTCAAAAAGAGCATTACTGTGGCATAGTGGGTAGCATGATCGCCTCACAGTAAGAAGGTCAGTGGTTCGAGCCTCAGCTGAGTCAGTTGGCATTTCTGTGTGGAATTTGCATGTTCTCCCTGCGTTGGTGTTGGTCTCCACCGGGTGCACCGGTTTCCCCCACAAGTCCAAAAACATGCGCTATAGTTGAATTAGGTAGGCTAAATTGAAGCCAAAAAGAAAATAAATGAATGAATAAAAGAATGAATATTTTTAAAAACTCTAAGCGCATTTATTAGCATTATAACTCCAGCTATAGGTCTCAATCTTATACTGATTTGTTGTTCCAAAAAAGTATGTATATTTTTGTGGAATCTGTGACTCTACTTTCAACTTTCTTTCTTGAAAGTTCAAATGTGCAACTTTTTTTTTTTTTTTTAAGATTAACAATTTAACACTTCCTTGTTGAACAAGTGTTCATTTCACAGTGAAAAAAAGCCTCAAATTTGAACAGTAGTGTAATTTATAATGTCATAATCTTCAGTTAATTTCTTAAACTAGTATGAAAAGCAAATAGTAAAATACATCCCTTCTAAAGGTAAAAAGTGAAAAAGTACACAGATTCTGATATTCCCGGATCGGTTTCAGACCTCATTTACAAGTGCAAATAAATCTTATGTAAATCAGATGTGCATTTGGGTCTGCAATGTAAGAACATAGATCAAATTTTCCTGTCAATTTAAGTCATGCGACACTGAAAAAAAAAAAAAAAATCGCATGACACCAACCGAGAAAAATGTTATTGCACTATAAAATAACTGTTCGAAGCTTTATTACTCCAGTCTTTAGTCACTTGATCCTTCAGAAAATTATTATTATTATTATTAATGAACATGGTAATAAAAGCAATAATGTCTGGAGTAATCTTTTCATTTGAAACCACATTTTTACCACATTTACATTTTTTACAGAATAATTTTCTTTAAGACGAAAAAAAAAAACATTGAAAAAAAAAATGGCCTCAAACATTTGACCGTTAATGTACTGTATATGTAGTTTAATCATTAAAAACTGAAGAGTTAACAAATTTAAAATAGGTATCAAGAACTGCAGTTGTTAATGTGTCTAAACGATGTCAAAAACTCTCAATTTTCACTCTCTCACAAAAACTAGTGTATTTTTCTATGTTCACCTTTTTCCCAGTTTACTTAGGAAACTGAAATGATGACATGTCCCACAGCGCATCTCTTTATTCAGAGGCACAGTTTGATGAGGTCAAAGAGTGTAGACGTTCTCAGATATCCGGTATTGTTTAAATTTTTCTGCTCTGCATAGACCGTGAATATCCTGCTCATGTCACCAGGTACAGCGCAAGCATGAGACACAATAACAAACATTCCCATTGACAGGACTTAAACAATGCAGGTCCACAAATCTGTAAAAACAGTGCATTTAAAAAAAAAAAAAAACGGCAGCTAAAGTCGCCAGAGCGTGAGTTGATAGAGGTGCACTGAATCAGGGACAGCGTCTGAAACATGACAGCTGAGATCTGATTTTAATCCATGAAGAAAAGCCTATAATCAGTCAAATGATTCATCTGAGCTGGGTCAATAACAACAGTGGTTGAGAAGTGCACATAAAAAAAACATGTAACCAATGCTTGACTAATAATTAGTGAAACTGATCTAATTCAAACACATTTTGGGCAAAACAAAACAACAACAACAAAAACAAAAAAAAACCACAGTCAATTAATCAGACTAAATGTTGATTCATTTCGCATTAATTACTTAATTTGAATTTATTTAATAGTTTTACATGGAGAGAATTGACTAGTGTCTAACAGATATGAGGTTGAAATGAGGGCCTGTTGAAGCAGGTCTGGATTATTCTAGAATTTCACTCTTCACCATTTGCAATATGATACTGGGTTATTAAAATATTTCAAAACTGTATTTACCAGTGTGACAGCACTGTGATGGTTAAGACCAAAGGTTATGTGATTTAAAGGTTAAATATGTTTTTCAAAGCTATCAGATGCATAGATAGCTAAATGTTACGTTAGTTTTAGAAATAATAAACAATTAAGATACAAATAAAATACAAGTTTAAATAAACATGTTACCCACTATCAAATATATAAAATAAATAGTATTTAATTGTATTTCCTGGAAATACCACTTTTAGTAAATACATTAAATTGATAGTGAAATAAAATTGTATGTACATGAGATGACACTGAGTTATTAATTATCACCAATAAGCTTCAGAAAAAGGTCTGGAGTTATGCTCAATTTACCATGAATCATTCTTTTGAAATGGTTCACCTAGTAAAATGAAAAAAAAAAATCAGAAAGAGCAACACTGATTTATAAGTTATCCAAACCTCCCAATGAGCCAATATGGTGTATATAATCTTTCATTTATTCCAACAAGGACTGAAATGAGGAAACCCTTAATATGCTTTAAAAAATGTGTTTTATATTATATTACATCATATTACTTTATAACTAACAATTACTTTTTAAATTACCATCAGTATTTCAACTTTTATTTTTAACAAACATGATTTACACTTTTAAATTAAAATCAAACTTTATTATAGTATTTTACTAAAGCAATTTCTATTAATATGCATTACAGTATTGTACGGGTGAACCACACTGGACATTTTTAGAAACACCAGTCTCACTGTACACAATGCAATAGAAAAAGCCTGAGGGACAGAGAGAAAGAAAATACAAGAAAGTCAAGAAGGAAGGCAGGTTCAGACACATATATAAAATAAATTCTATAATTTATATAAAAAAAATATATATATATAATTTTCCATCCAAAATACAAGTGTGGATAAAAACTCAATCTAAGAATCTAACTACAGTTGTTCAAACGAATCAAAAAGCACCTATAAACTGACAGCTCCTCTCCGCTGTGTTATGGAGAAGAGTGTTTGCTGTTGTTCTGTTCTTGGACATCACATGAAGAAGCAACATTATCCTCAGCTCCTTTGTCAGGCGGTTTGTAATGAGCCTGTAATGAGTTCATGTAAAATGCAGAGGGAGATCATCTATCTCACCCTAAGCAGGGGTCCTCACAGCTCTAAACTGACACAGACGCCCTATTTCGCCCTCTCAATAACAGGTAGTCAAAGACACAAAAATTATAGAAGTGTTTATGATACAGCTGCTCTTGGATGCGTTTTCAAACAGAATCAAGTTGGTATTAATTATATGGCTAATAAACTGTCTAAAAATTCTCCAACAGAAAATAAATATTTTCCATTAAAAAAAAAAGAATTCTCAAAATGAAATAAGCCCTTTTAATAGAAGCTACAAAAGCCTACTTTAGATAGTTTAACATTATTGCCAAATTTTTTCACAAAGAGAGAGATAATGCCTTACTGAAAAAACAAACAAAAATGAGTACGATTTATATATAAAACTAAGAAATGAATGATCAGCCAACCCCTAAATCAATCAATCAATCAACGCTGTTTGTTTAACAGGACCATTCATTAATCAAATTTCATCTTTAATGAAGAACTGCAGTTAAATGTCAGGCCAAGGACATTATCTGGTTTTTTACAATTTTTTTTAAGGGTAAAGTTATTTTAACAATATCATACATTAATTACAAGTATATGTTATAATACCTTTTGAAATGAACCATGATTCAATAATAGCAAATGTGATAGTATGTTTTCACCACATTAATCACTGCACCATTTGTATAACAAATGCTTAAATGGTGGTCAGTGAAGCAAAATCATGAAACATTTGTGGTTATTCTGATTTTTAGTTTTGTTTGTAGGCAAAAACATGAATAACGTTCGTTGTAAATGGTTTATAAAAAGGTACAAATAGCAAAGTCTAAAATACAACTTTTATATGAGACCAACCACTTATCTACTTACTTACTAATGTTTTCCAAGATCTTTTACAGCTACAAAACACAAGCCAGTACAGAATTCAATCAAGCCGACAACAGTGAACCCTGTCTGGACAACGTATGGGGGAGAAGTCGATACAGTAGATTCCGAAACATCTGACTTCTGCATGTTTCCATTTTCGATAACGGAAAAATAATGTTTTACAGATTACAAAATTAAAAGACCACATACATACAGTACATACAGGATTCGCCACTATTAAACACTCCACATAATGCACAGGATGCTTTGACTGTCTCATCAATAGACTTACCGATAAGTTTACAATAATGTGTTGATCCCCTGCTAACGTTACTTGAACTGATGCCGCAGGTGCAGAGTTTTTGTTGTCAGACGACTGCATATAAATATAACTTTAGGAAAAATGCACAAATAAAAAATGTAAATGTAACTAAATTTAACTAAAACATGCTCTCACGATATGTTCAATATTAGCAGTCGCTAACTTCAGACATGTTCATGATTTCAAGTGTGTCTAAGCAACGGACGCAGCTGTAATCTCCATAGCTTTTACTTTTTCTCCTGCTTTGTTTTCCAAATATTACGGTAAACTCCAATATCTTCCGGGTTGTTCCTTCAGTCAGGATCGGGATTTGTGTGCGTAGACTAAATGCATGAGTTATAAAAATCCCAAGGAACACCACATATTAAGGTTTTTACGGGGAATGTTTTTGATTATTTTTGTGTAATGCTCCGTTAACCAAATTGCACGTTCACATTTTTAAAATAATTAAAAGTAAACCATTAAATCAGTAACTGCTTTATTACGTTTTTAGTTTTAAGTGCAAATAATGTTTCTAACACAATTTAATTAGAAAGAACAGAATTGCAAACTTAAATCGGAGGTCCCCTTGGACTCATGGTAGAGGCATCTGTTAGTTTGTGATTTACTATACTTGCTTATAGGAACTGTAGTTTTTATCTTAACAACATGAACGCCTGTAGGATAACTAAAAACTACATTTCCCAGGAGGCACTTGTAACGCAGGTGCAACGGCAACTTGTTGCCTCGTGAGGAAAATAGGGGTGACCTCCGCAATCAGAGTAGTGGGAGAGCAGCTGTCATTCGTAACCAGCAGAAAATGGTAGGAAAATTTCATATTGCAACTAATGTTTTAAAACAATTTCACGTTTTGTTGTTAATACGTTATCATGCTTATGGAAACTGCGAGGTTAACGTCAAAGCTTTGAGTCGAATAATACCAGGAGCTATTTTCTTTAAGTTTGTGCTGTTAAATTACAAAGACTTGTATAATGATCATTTAATCACTTATTATAAGACAATAAGAGTCATGCACTTTTGTATTCATGTGGTATTTTATTAAATCGTTCGTAATTTTAAATTGCATTCACAGTCTATTCAGTGTACAAGTCTTAATTATTAATTCAAAATATGATTAATTTGCAACAGATGAGTGAAAGCAGCGGAGAAAGTGAGTTAATTGAAGAACTGAGTAAATGTCTCTCGGTTTAAAAATATCCCACTCAGCACGTCATTCTGAGGTCTGGCAGAGTTTGCCAGGACTATTTATATGTTCTAACACCATGAGCTTCCTGCTCATCTCTACTGGCTGAATGTTGTCATATATAACTCTTTTCTTTGTTCACATTAGTTGTTCATAATTATTTTCCTTTTTTGTTATAGTCTGAGCCTATTAGAGTCTTGGTGACCGGTGCCGCAGGACAGATCGCATACTCTCTGCTGTACGGCATTGCAAAGGGAGATGTCTTCGGTAAAGATCAGGTAGAAGCAGGATTTGGCTTAGGCAATGGCCCGTCACAACCAATTAAACACTGTTGTGTCATTCAGCATGTGGTTTGACTTATTCCAAGAATAAGCTCCATATATGTCTGACAAACACCTGATGAGATTATTTCATGTGTCATTTATTGTTGCATTTATGCAAGGCACACTCTTATGATCAGTTTCTCTCTCTCTCTCTCTCTTTAGCCTCTCGTTTTGCTTCTGCTGGACATCACTCCCATGTTGCCTGTGCTGGAGGGTGTTGTTATGGAGCTGCAGGACTGCGCCCTTCCACTTCTGAGAGGTACACGCATACAGTAGAATGAGTGTTATGAGGCCCTGTGTTTTCTAAGCTTTGTGCGAGTCTTGCGGTTTTTAAGGCTTGTGTTTTCATTGCACAAATGACAAGAGCACAGAGCAGTCTGATTGGTTAGCCATATGATCCCCAGCTGAAAGGGCTGCTAGACTTATTAACGGTGGTCCCTATTAGAGAATGGAATTGGAAGATTGACAGTAACATTAGAGCCTATGTGGGGGAAGGGGGCTACTCTTTCTATAGTGACAAATGGAAAAAAAAATATATTAGAGCAATTCAGTGCAAATGTCAACCTTGCCATGAAAAAAAAAAGTTTTCACCAAAAAAACGGAAACAGTTTCAGGGTTTTTTTTGTTGTGTGTGTGAACAAGTATTTACAGTACTTTGGAAATACTCAAAAATGTCCCTGTCAATGTTTTCAAACTATTCTATTTGATTTACCAAAGTCACACAAGTGGTAATTTCACATCTATCACATCCATAACGGAGAGATGTCACATGCGTGACAACACTTTTTCTTCATAAATGCGAAAATGTTAAATTAAATAAAACCAAACATTTTTGTTCTATAGAGAGCCAGCTCATATCCTTTTGATTATTATAGTTTCTTTTGGGTTGTGCAGTTTATTTCGCAGAATTTCTACAAAAAATTTTGTATACTCTAAACCTTTCGTCAAATCCATAACGCATGTTTATTGTCCTAATTTAAAGTACAAAACATGTCTACAGATTAATATTTTTCTGATACCTTAACTCTTTGGTTAATTGTTCTGCAAAACATAAACAGATGTTTCAATATAATGTTAAAATATACTTTCTATGCAAATTTATTTTTTGAGTTTTTACTGCAATTGTCACATCCATAACGCTGGAATTGCTCATAAGTATTCAACTCAAAGCACCTTTAGTTAGAGCATAGGACTGAGACTCGATTTGTGCATGGCTGCACAGTTCCAACACTAATCAAACACACCTGATTCAACTAATCAAGGTGTTCAAAACTACTAGAGACTATTAAGCAGGTGTGAGTTGGTGCTTGGAGCTAAATTATGCAGAGCTGCGGCCCTTGAGGAACTGAGTTTAAGACCATTGAGTTGGAGCATCTTTGGCAATTGGTACAGAATCAAGTATTTTAGGGTACAATGTGGGTGTAAAGCTTTTCAGGTTTTTTGCCATTCTTCTCTGTAGATAGTCTCAAGGCCGATCTGCTGTGTGATGGATGAGGTCTGTCAGTAAATGGACATTTTAGGTTTGATGTTAGATTGCGTTCAAGTCCAACTCTGGCTGGGCCACTCAAAAATGGTAATAACCAAAGCTCGTTGGGTCCTGGAGGAACTCTAGTAAGAATCTTGGTTTTTCCAAACTTCTTCCATTTGATGGAGGTCACTTGCTCCTGTGAACCTTAAATGCTACAGAATTGTTTTGTAGTCTTCTCCAGATCTTGTTTAAACGCAGTCCTGTTTCTCAGCTCTGTGGATTCTTACTAGATTGGATTTGCTCTAAAATGTGCATGCATTTCCAGTTGTTGGACTTATCTAATCTGATGAATTTGTGTTACAGAGGTCATCCCCACGGATAAAGAGGATGTGGCATTCAAAGATTTGGATGCTGCCATCCTGGTGGGCTCAATGCCAAGGAGAGAGGGCATGGAGAGAAAGGATCTACTGAAGGCCAATGTTGCCATCTTCAAATCCCAAGGGGAGGCCCTTGACAAGTATGCAAAGAAAACCGTTAAGGTGAATAACAGGCTCATGATGTATTGCTGTAAATTGCATAGCTAATTGACCAAGCCTGTAAATGTCAATACAATATCTTGACCCTCATGTTTTAATATGCAGGTCCTAGTTGTTGGCAACCCAGCCAACACTAACTGCTTAATTGCGGCTAAATCTGCACCATCCATACCCAAAGAGAATTTCTCTTGTCTAACACGTCTGGATCACAACAGGGCTTCCTCACAGGTAACACAAACTCTGCTGGACAACCCACCATAATGGAGCACAATTCAAAGAGATGGAATGGTTCAATCTATACCCGTTTCACACTCACTCACACTACACAATATGTCCTCTAGGTGGCATTACGTTGTGGCATTGCACCAAACAATGTGAAGAATGTGATCATCTGGGGAAATCATTCATCTACGCAGTACCCTGACGTCCACCACTGCAAGGTGAATGTGCAAGGGAAGGACGAGACTGCCTTCGATGCAGTGAAGGACGATGCCTGGCTGAAGGGAGAATTCATTTCTGTAAGTGTCTTTGACTTTCTCCTCCTGTAGAGGTCACTGTTGGTCTATTTTCTATGCTACTAAAGTAATTAGGAGGATTATGATTTGAGTAATAAGGCTATTAATTTGCACAGGCAAACATAGTGGTCATGCAAACTGAATGTAACTGATTGGAATGATATTATCAGATTTATAATCTATTGTTCTACATCATTGTTCCTTCTCAGACGGTGCAGCAGCGTGGTGCTGCAGTCATCAAAGCCAGGAAACTCTCCAGTGCCATGTCAGCCGCCAAGGCCATTTGACAAGACATTTGGACTGGCACTCCTGAGGTCAGCTTTTTAAGGGTCCTTCACACTGGTATAAGCCTATTCTGAGACCATCATTGCCCACTCTCACTCGCACACATTATGGGAGTTAATCATAATGTATAGCATACAAGTAATTTTATACACAATATGTTGATTGCACAATATGAGTCTCTTCTTAATTTAATTTTAAATTAAGCTATACTTTTTTACTAAGGTGTTGTGTTTGTTTTATAGGGTGAGTTCATTTCAATGGGTGTCTATTCCACTGGAAACTCTTATGGAGTACCTGAGGACCTCATTTACTCATTCCCCATTTCAATTAAGGTTTGTTATTAAAATTACCAAAACCTTCTTTTATCTATTCATTACAGTTTTCAACCCTGTGATCTTATTTACTCAGAATCTTGAGGTCAAATGACTTCTCTCATACAAATCATACTCTTTTAAATTAGAGCACAATTTGTTGTCAGTATTGGAACATGTTTCTTTTTTTTTCAGGATAAGAACTGGAAAATTGTTGATGGACTCCCCATTAACGACTTCTCAAAAGCCAAGATGGAGGCAACAGCAGCAGAATTAGTGGAGGAAAGAGACACTGCTCTCTCTTTCCTGGGTGTTTGACGACAAACTCAACCATCTACAACACTGTTAGATACCCAAAAAACTCCAGAAGCACGTTTGTAAAACACTCCAGTAAAACTGTGTTGTCTTCCCCTGAAACTGTTACACAAATTGTAGAACTCTGTGTCTGTGTGTGTACTTAACTTTTTCAGCTGGATATTGACTAATAATGCAGAATTGAAACCTAGTCTTGCATGGACTTTGGGTGTTTCCCTTCCTCTTTTTGGTCTTCCAGCTAAACACATCTTTTACAGAAGAAAGCAAGATATTTATTTATTTAATTATTTATAGACTGTCCTGTTCAGTTCAAAGCTGCATAAAGGAGGATCAAAGCCTGGAAAGGGCTTAAGTGGACATCAGCAATCAGAGTACATTAGGTCTTTCTGTGTCTTTGTCCAGACTGAAGTTTCAGCTGTTACATGTACGACAAAAGTTTGTCAGAAACTGTCAAGTAACATTTCATGAGTTAATTTAAGAGCTTTGGTTAATGTAATATGATTTTATGTAGAATCCAGCAATAAAACAAACATTAAAATACATTCTTGAATGTAATACTACTGTTTTATTTGTAAAAAAAAAAAAAGGAAAAAAAAAAAATATATATATATATATATATATATATATATATATATATATATATATAGTTTACAATGTCTAAAACAATGTCTAAAACTTACAAATCACTAGTCACTGCAATTTCATACATATTGTTCAGATTAAGAATATTTTTTTCACCTATATTTTTTTTTCAAGATAATATTTTTCCAAAAATAAGGAATATTGAACGTGTTTTGTGTAGCATAACATGAGGTGTATGAAAGGATGTCTGGATGTTTTATCCTGCAAGGTCACTTTTTTTTTCTTCTTGTTGCAGACGTGGCTTGCCTTCTATGTTGCCAAATCACAGTAGAAAAACATTTCTTTTAAATAATTACAGTTTTATAAAATAATAGTTTTTATGTATAATTGGCTTAAAAATACAGATTTTCAGCAATGAATTTCAATATTTATATAGATTTGGTGCTATTATCCATGCTACTACAGTATTAATATGTGTCATAGTAATGTTTCATTCCACAAAAGATGACAAAGAGATCATCGTATTTGCCAAACAAGCAAACAAAACACAACCTGCAGTGGTTCCCAAAGTGGGGGTAGCAGGACAATTATTGGGTCGCTTTGTGGTTTCCAATTGTAAAATACATTTATTAAAACTATTAGAACAACTATTTTTTATCCATTACCCACAGAAGATAAACAATATTAGTTAATGGTTCTTAAAAACACCAGGGTAAATTTTCAAATACAAATTTGCAATTAAATAGAAAAAAATTAATACAGACCACAACTGAACATTGAGGATGATCTCTGTGGCAGTCTCACCAAAAATAGACTTATGCTAAAACATTGTCCACAAATTTATACAGGCCTACTGTTTTGCGTGCAACATTTGTATATTTATAACTACCTCTGAGGAATGTCGGGGTCACAAGTCACTGGGCTTGCCATACTGGCATTGTTATATTGAGATTCGTGGGCTGAAATGGTTGGGTACCCCAGCTATAAAGGATAGCACTCCACAAGTAGCTTGTTGATAGAGGACATGGCAACACTATAGACAACCAATGAGAAACACCTCAGGTAAAATACTGTGCTCTCATTGGTTCTTGTGAATTTGCATATTTCCTTTTGGGGTTAAAGCCACTCAATGCTATAATAAAATTAGTATTTTTTAACTTCACAAATTATAAAGAACCGATTTATTTTCCTTTAAGATAATAATAAAGTGTACATGTATACATTCCTCAATCGCCATTAATAATACTGAGTAATATAAACTGCTTAAAATGGGTGATATGTGACGAATAAATTGTTGGCAAGTAAACAGGCATTGTAAGCTAACACATTTTCAGGGTATGATGTTAAGGACAATTTTAAAACAATGTTATTAGTAAAGCACTTCCGCAGTGTGCCTATGACCCGCACTGCTGCTTTCCGAGAGAAGAAAGTTGGTTGGCTAGCGAGGAAAACACGTCGCTGTTCCGGAACAACCTTCAGCAGCTGCCCAACAGCATCCTCCTCCAGCTTGCAGAGTAAGACACTTCAAATATACTTTCACATTCGCTTTGCACTTATATTTTACCACCCCAAAACCACCTCCTTTGTCGTCTTCCTGAACCACGTCTAAAAGCGACGATTTTCGATGCAAAACCATCGAGCATCTCTCATATATAGTCAGGAGAAAACATCGCTGTTCAGTGTCTGCAAAAGTACTGACGAAAATACTGCAACAACGCGTGCAAATCCATGTTTAACGATGCTGTTGCGACGACAAACATTCAAACTCGTATTATAAGAAAATAGAGTATACAGCTGATTAACTTCGCCGACAAAAAGAAACAAATTTGACCCTAAGGACGCGATCCGGATCGGGTGGACGTGAGCGCGTGATCGTGCAAGGGCTGATGTGACGTGTCGTAAATGACGGGCTGCGCGCGAACGCAGTTCCTTCACTTTCTTACACACAGCAGGGAAGCATATTTCACGGTTTGGTACAGCACACAGTTTCCTTAAAGCAATAAATGCTCTGTGAGTAAAGGTCGCTGTTTATTCACCATGAGTTACTCGATAGTCAGTGGGAGGAGAGAAAGAGAGAGAGAGTAGGTTGACTTAAAAGCGCGTGAACGGTAGAGGAAAGCGCTCTTCAACAGAATGAGAAAATCGATCAGCTGACCTTCTGTCTTAACACTACTACCGATAAGCTTCGCATACTGAAAGGATTGTATTTGCGTTTCCGTTGTCCCCATGATTTAAGCGGATTTATCAAAAAAACTGGATTATTAATGTTGTGATAATTAAGAGCAATTCATTGAGTTTAAAGGACAGAGACATTAGCAGTATGTCGCTTTACGTTGAAGGTAAGAACTTGCATACATTTAGTTTCTTTAAACTTTATACATGACTTTTATACTCGTTCTTAATTTTAGGTCGATGTCACTGTTATTTAGGGATAAAATAGATCGTATTGCAGCGTGAACAAGCTGTCAGTTGAATTCAGATGAGAGTGAGAGCTGAATGGACCCCTCAGTCTATGCTGTATGATACACTGGGAAAGTTGCTCTAGAAATGTGGCTAGACTGAATTGGAAAGATTGTACCGTGTAGACTGTCAGTCTGTTCTTTGGTTTGGTTTGGCTGTAAGAAGTCTGGTTCTCTGACAGCTATTCATTTGGCCTGACAGTGTCTGTAATTTAAAAAGATTTTATATTGAACTCTATTATAAAGGATGCTTACTGAGTCCTGTGTCTGCTTGTGTCCAACAGTATTTCGGATGTGCAGTCTGATCTAAAAGTATGAGGTCACGTTGAAAATCTTGAATATGACATCTTATTTAAACCTATAAATAAAAAAGAGCTTTACGACTTTGGAATTAAATGAACTATTGTTAAATAAAGTGCCATTCAAAAGTATAAAGTAATTAAGACTTTTATTCTTTTTTTGGGCGGAAAGGGATGCTTGAAGGCGGCTTTATTTGTTAAAAACAGCAACATTGTGAAATGTTATTACAATTTAAAATAACTTGTATAATTAGATATACTTTAAATACTGCAGTAATAGCATCAAAATACATTAGTTTCATCATTCTTCTGAAATAATCATAACAAAATGTTTTGGTGCTCAAGAAATTTTAATTAAACTTAAAAAAAATAAATTTGTAAAAGCTGTGACACATTTTTTCAATGTATGTTTAAAGAACTGAATTTATATTAAATTGAAAAATATTACCACTACTTTTAATCAATTTAATGAATAATTTCTAAATAATATAGTTTTTCTAATAAAAATAAAAGCAAACCTTTGATTGTGTGAGAACATGATTCTGTGCTTTGTATGGGTAAATATCATGTAAGCAAATTTGAACAATTCATGTAGTGACCTCTTACAGTCTGTCAGAAGTTTGTACTACCCCAAGGAATCTTTGCCAATTTTCTTTAAGTCTAAACTTCAGTACTAAAGTAAATAAAGCAAAAGAAGGACATGCAAATATACACTTTCAGTCAATTTCTTATGCCCATAGTATCTGGTGGATTCTCTGTTTGCAGGTGCCCTTTGACCCTTGTAGAACTCGTCTGATGACAGCAGCTTACTGAGAGTTTATGGATGCACTTCACATCATGCATTCTTTGCTGTGAAGAAAAAAGGAACACCTTTCTTCAAACAAACTGCATAGAAGTGAACTGCTCATAGAATCATTAGTAAATGTCATGTAGTATATACATTACTGCTAATGGGGGCACTCTGACAGACTTTAACACTGTTAGAAACTGTCTATATTTACCCCAATGAGCTATTTCTAACTTACCTGAACCTAAAAGTTTCTCTGGCTGGTGAAACCAAATGTAATTAGGATAATGCAGCAGCATTAAAGAGCCTTTATCATGCAGTCAGAATCTAATAAATCCATTAAAACCCATCTTTCAAAAATGATGTACTTAAACGTTCTTTCATATTTGTATATATGAATATGAAAATTAACCCCGCCTCCACTACATCACACCAGCTCTGACCTGCCCCAATTTCTTTCTTCTCTCTTGACTGAAGTAGCAAACACTGCACAATGGCAAGTGGCAATTTTGGAAAAATGATTATATGTATGTCAAATATTGCAGTTTCAAGACTGAATTTAATCAAACGCTGAATGGATTATTGTCTGGAACTGTACAGAGAGCTCTTCTTCTTATGACTTAAAAGCTGTGTGTTGCTGAAAAGTTCTGTTATAATCAGTTAAAAACTATAATGCACAATTAATCTGGGATATTATTATCATATTGGGTGTTGAATGAAATTTACCTTAAACTAGTTAGCCATTGCATTCCAGAAATAGATTGCATCTTTAAATGAGGGTATTCTTGCTTTAGTTTGAGGGTGCCTAAGAACCTGTAAATCCCCCATAACTAGACCTGGCTCTCCACTATTGACATGAATTGAATTTTGGTTTGACTAGGTTATCAAACAGCTAATATGTGGCTAATGTTGCCCAAACCTTATTGCTGATTTCTATCAGCATTCACATTTTCACCCCAGGAAGTCTTTAAATAATGTTTTTATTTATATTAAACTAATTAATTAAGATTTTACCACTATACATTTTTTGTTTTTTGTTTTGTTGTAGACTTTACCAAAAGTCCAGATTAATGTAGCATTGCTAGTAAAATTACCTCTCGCATCACCCCATCATTTCTTCTCAAACGCATGAAGCACAAATCAATATCTCATGTACCTTTATTTATTTATTTAGTGGGTAAATAGCTGTACAAGTGAAATAATGTGCAGTCAGCTGGTCATTAAAGCAAAATAACCCCGGCTCATCCTGTTAGCTGACTGTACATTATCACTGCCTGCTTTATCTCCAGCTCCTCCAAAGAGACTCTATCTGTATAGTGAATAACAGTGTTTGCTTAATGACTAAACAACTGACCAACAGTTCAATAAACTATGAATCAAAGTCAAGATGCTGTAGCTTTACATGTAGGTATGAATAATGTTAATGCT